TTTACGCCGCGTTTCGCGGACACGATGTCGAAGGGAATTGGGTTTTGGGGAATTTCGATCGGCGCGTTTTCAGAATTTAACCCGTTCGCTGCTACGCTGTTAGCGCGCGATAGAGGGAAAAAGCAAGCTACGGAAAGCGTACTCCGTCGATCGTGTTCAACAGCCCTCGGTCAGGGTTCCGCGCGACAGCGAGAGGCTCGGGAGAGTTCAGAGGTTAAAGATTTAACGAAGCTGCAGCGTGAACCGTGGACGATCAATTTCGGGCGACGGCGTCGGTGAAAAAAATAGATGTTTCGTTGCAGCGCGGAGGCGGCGCGACCGAGAGGGTTGAAAATGGGCCTCGTAGCCGGTGTCAACGCTCGCGGGAGTTGCCGGTCGGGTAGACGCGGGGGCGAAGAAGCAATCGGGCGGCTCGCGGTTGTATCTGTCGCGATTAGTCGGTCGCGTTTCCACGTCTTTTGTCTTCCGGCGCGACGACTCTCGGGTGGTCCGCGCGCCGCGGAATATCACCCTGCCTCGCGTAGTCGCCGCGACGACGGGGCGCGACGGGGTGCGGCGGGGTGCGGCGCGGAACGGTGCGAAGCGGCCGCCGCGGCCTCCGCGATCCCGTGGAGGCCGAAAGGAAGAACCGTTGGAAAAAGGCCGTGCGCGTCGGCGTCGCCGGGTGGCGGCATTCTAAATTTAGGAGGAAGTATTGATTTTACAATTTGGACCCCTCCCAAAGTAAAAAATAAACCAAGCCAAACGTACTCTACTTTGATAGAGTGCCTCTCCTCTGCGCGGCTCGTTTCGACGCACGGCCGAGACGAAGATACAAAAAGGGAAACATGGAGGGGGTGGTTGGTGGCTGCCGGCTGCCGGCTGCCTCTGCCACGGGAACGGCGGAGCGGGCTGCGCCGGGGGTAAGGGGGGTGGCCGACGGCGAAGCGAAGGGGTGGCTGCTGGCTGGCTGAAGGGTGAAACAGAGAGTGGGAGGGAAGAAAAGAAGAAGATAGCGATTGCCAGGGAAAGTGAGGGGGTGGCGGAGAGAAAGAGAGAGCGAGACGGAGACGGGGAGAGAAAAAAAAAGAGAGAAAGAGAGAGAGAGAACGAACGGCGTTGCCGTGGCGCGCGGCGGCCGAAGGTAGAGGGAAAGGAGCGAGGAAAGAAAGAAAGAAAGGGTGGAGGAGAACAGAGGAGCCGAGAGTGGGGGTTGGTTGAAAGAGGGTCGGCCGGGCGAAGGAGAACGCCGGGGTGGAGGGAGAGTGGCGAAATACCGTAGTTCCAGCCTGCTAAGAAACAAAGAACAGAAAATTGATCGTTTGTTAAGTTTTATGTTCCCCGGGGCCAGGCGAGGGTGGTCTACACCCTCTTGCGCGCCTCCCACCCCCCCCTCTCTCTCTCTCTCTCTCTCTCTCATCTGTTTCCATCTCGCTCCGACGACTCGTTTCTCCGCCGTGACTCGTTCCATCGCTCTCGCTCTCTTCTCGGTCTCTTTCCTCTGGTCGGCGATGTGCAATAAGACGAATAGAGGAAATTCTCCACCCGCCGGGCGAAAGAGGGCGGCGGGTACGCCGGATGAAGGTGGGTACGCAGAAAAACGCGCAGAGGGAAAAAGGAGGGCGGTGGTGGGCGAGGACTGGGCACGGAGCGATAGAGAGACACGTGTACGAGGAGAAAGGGGGACGACGGGGGTCGGTCGGGGATGGCCGAGCGGGCATCGTGAAAGTCAATGGAAGCTGGACGAGATTGCCTTCGTCGTCTGTTGTCGTCTGCTCTCGCCCGGCTTTTTCTGATGGGGATGAAGTTTAATTACGAGGAAACACGTTTATTGGACCGCGATGCTTTTTTCCCGGCCTCGCGGAAATCTTGTCGAAATTCGTGCTCGCGGCTCTCGTCCTCTGTCTCCTTCTCTAACTCGTCCTCATCCTCGTTCTCTGACTAGTTCTCATCCCCTATTTCGTCCTCGTTCTCTGTCTGGTTCTCACCCTTTAGCTCGTTCTAATCCTCCGTCGCGTCTTCATCCCCTATCTCGTCGGAGTCCTCGTCCCCGTCGACGGGGATCGAAAATAAATTGATCCGCGTCGCGAGACGCCGGCTCTCCGGCGAACTATTTTCAAATTTTCGAGCGCGGTCAAGGAGTCTCTCCAAGAACCGGCGACGGGTGAAATTAGCGTATTGAAGGGGGGTGCGAGAGCGCGCGAGCAATTACGATGGAGAGAACGCGGCGCGGCGCGGCGCGGAGCGTGTGTCCATGTCCGCGGAAAGTGAAAATGGAGTAGCACGCGTCTCGTTGATAATACAATGCACCTGTAACGCGTTAAACGACGCGGAGTTGAACGACCGGCGCTCTGAAAAAATTTTAAACCGTGAAAGAGAGCCAACACCGACGCGGACGCGAAACGCTAACGCCAACGGCGCGCCGTGAAAACGCCGGCGAAAGGGATTTTAAAGCGAATAGGAAACTATCGAGCCGGCCGAAGGGCGCGTTTAAGGGTCAACTGCCGTGGCAGGGACGAGCGCGTCGCTTCGCGAAGTTTGACTAACGACTGGAAATATGAGCGACGCGAGTCCGATCGAACCCCGGTCGTTTTAGTCGCAACTCTTTTCTTTGGACGAAGCGCACAGTTACATTTGTTCGTCGTGTTCGCGTCGTAATTACATTTTGATCGGTATTTGCGATTCGCAATCGGTCAACGGTCGTTCGGCTCATTAACAATTATTTCCGCCGGTGATTTTCCTTAAGAATCTTTGTATTCTTATCACACGATTTTACAATTTTTCCCACTTTACCGATCCTACGATATAATATTTTCTGCAAAAAGATGAGTCAAGAAATTACGTAACGACGCTTTGAAAAGAACGACGGTTCAACATTTTTATCTTCGGTCTTTTTTGACACGCAAATTTGCTTGATGTATCGTTGAGGCTTTCCTGATTAAAGTGGGACCGAGCGTGACATATTTTTAACTGCAATTTATTTACGGACGCGTATCGAACAGCTTGTACATTATAACCGGTCAGCGGATTTTTCTGCAAAATAAAAGATGTCCGCGCCCGTTGCGAGAAATTGAAGTTAAATAACAAATTCATCTCCTCCAGGGTAGATCAAAGATAATTATATCGGCATTTGAAAGTTCTTTCGAACCTTCTACCATTCGAAGTTTCAGCTGTTTTTAATTTCAACTTTTAAGCTACGGCTAACTTTTAGCCAGCTTAATTTTTAACTATGTCGCAAATGCATAAAATCGTAATCGTTAGTCATTTTTCCGACTACAATTGCTCGCCGCAGCCCGGGGAAACTTCGCGGGAACGGGAAGCGACGCGACGATATCACCCGCTGGAATCCTATATACTATTTCAAGTAATTAATCGGCCGTAAAAAATCGTCCCTTTACGGGCGACAAGAAAACTACACCGTGTCCCGACGACAACGGCCGATTTTTAATTCTTTTTTCGCATTCGACCGAACGATCAATCACTTCTGCGCCGAACTAGATTTTTCGCCGGATTTCTACAGAGAACGGAGGCCATATTGAAAATTCCAGACACTGATTGATTGCGCGTGTTTTACTTCGTTTACCATCTCGCTCGGAAGATTATCCTTTTCGGTGACGGCCTACGCGGGCTCGGAATCGACGGACAAAAGGACGACGAACCGTTCGAAAGAGTAAAAGTCGCGGCGATTTTTCGCTGACCAGTGTGTTAGACACACTCGTTGCCGACGTATAAGGGTGATCTTAACCATTAATTATCGATGGAAACACATCGAACCCCTTCGACGTGGCTTTAAGAAATTATCAAGATTTTTTAAAACCCGATTATTAGAAAATTTCAAAAGGAATATAAGTTAATAAATAATACTGTTTCCGTAATGATGCAAATGCCGTTATTTTTTAATTCCTCAATATTTAGGCTTGAGAAATAACAGTATAAATAGTATAAATAATTAGTATACTGTTATTTCTCAAGCCTAAATATTGAGGAATTAAAAAATAACGACATTTGTAACAACCGTTTCCTTTTTTAAATGAAATAACAGTATTTGCTGAAAACAATCGAGCTTCGCCTAAAAGATTGTCGCATTCCCTCGTATAATATTAACAATTAATTTAATAATTAATGCAAGGTATTCGATAACAAGCAACACAACAATTTGGGAAGATCCGACATCGTTCTGCGAGGATATTCGGCTTTTATATNGGAAGTACCATCACAGCAACCTACAGACCATGTTCTCACAGCTGCTCGAGCGGCAGGTGTTCTGCGACGTCACCCTTGCCTGCGAGGGCAAGACTCTCAGAGCGCACAAGGTAAGCAGAGACTTCTGCCGGCTTCATTCACATTTCGGATCCGCGCGCGCGGCTCGTCGGAATTCATCCGCGGTATCGTCGCGCGCCGCGATAAGAATATAAAAGCCGAATATCCTCGCAGAACGATGTCGGATCTTCCCAAATTGTTGTGTTGCTTGTTATCGAATACCTTGCATTAATTATTAAATTAATTGTTAATATTATACGAGGGAATGCGACAATCTTTTAGGCGAAGCTCGATTGTTTTCAGCAAATACTGTTATTTCATTTAAAAAAGGAAACGGTTGTTACAAATGTCGTTATTTTTTAATTCCTCAATATTTAGGCTTGAGAAATAACAGTATAAATAGTATAAATAATTAGTATACTGTTATTTCTCAAGCCTAAATATTGAGGAATTAAAAAATAACGACATTTGTAACAACCGTTTCCTTTTTTAAATGAAATAACAGTATTTGCTGAAAACAATCGAGCTTCGCCTAAAAGATTGTCGCATTCCCTCGTATAATATTAACAATTAATTTAATAATTAATGCAAGGTATTCGATAACAAGCAACACAACAATTTGGGAAGATCCGACATCGTTCTGCGAGGATATTCGGCTTTTATATTCTTATCGCGGCGCGCGACGATACCGCGGATGAATTCCGACGAGCCGCGCGCGCGGATCCGAAATGTGAATGAAGCCGGCAGAAGTCTCTGCTTACCTTGTGCGCTCTGAGAGTCTTGCCCTCGCAGGCAAGGGTGACGTCGCAGAACACCTGCCGCTCGAGCAGCTGTGAGAACATGGTCTGTAGGTTGCTGTGATGGTACTTCCATCGTAGACAATACTGTTGGGGGAACATGTTGGACGATGACATCACGGGAGGTGTCGCTACTGAATTGCCTCGTTGCTGAAGTATGCGCGAACCTGGCACACGGTCGCTAGCTGAACACGTTGCCGTGCTTCACCTTAATCCCGTCTTCGAACCCTGTCACCCTGCAACATTTCGTTCACGATCACCGAAACGAAATCGTACGTTCCTCGAGGATTCCCTATTTTTAACTTGTTATACGACCGATCGATGGGTTCTCTCCCCTAAAAAGAAAAAAACATTCTCCCAAAAGCCTCGATGTCTCCACTGATGGGGTGCTTACAGGGTTGAACGCGATTCCTCCGGTTATATTCGACAGAAAATTATGAAAAAAATCACGAGCTTTCCATCGGCTTGGACACGCGTTCGAGAATTTTTTCAGATTTTTCGACCGCAGATCCGATCTTTAAATTACCGATTTTATATCGATATTGTAGAGCGATCGCCGTTTTTACAATTTTTGCCTTTTGCTGCGTATAGTTTTTAACGTACAATTAACGTATAATTTCGTCAGATTTGTCGAGAATCGCTTTCGGGAAAATGTCTTCTTTGGAGAACCTATCCAATTCGACTTGGGGAGTGGGGTGGGGCACATTTCTCATGCTTATCAGGCTAGACCCTTTTCGAGATCTCGAAGAGAGAGAAAAAAGAGAGAGATCGCGAAGAAATTAATCGAAGAAATGGCACCGTGCGTATCGCGAGGGATCGTTCCAAGGATCGTGCACCTCCCCGGTTCCCACGATGCCCGGTCTAATCAATTATCTTAGAACGGGGGCTCGCGCGTTTCTCGCGCGGAAATTGCGTTCGAAAATTACGACCGGTTCGAGAGGCGGCAATTTATGTTTCCTGCGAAGCTACTTTTCGTTCCATCTGTTGCCTCCGCTCGCTACGCAGCACGCGGCACGGCGGAAGAGAGGCGCACGATCGATGGACGCGGTCTAGGCTACCGGCAAAAGTCTCTTACAGGTGTCAGCCGATGGGAAGTCAGTCGCCGGTCTCGTTCTCGAAGTCAAACCGACCTGGGGCCGCTCTTCTCTCGATTCTCGTCGATGCTTCTCAAGCGGACGTCGCTGGGACCGTGTATACCACCATCGGGATCGGTTACGCGACTACGCCTGACCTTGTCAACACCTGAAACAGAGACGAGAACGCTCGGTGAATACGCGGAGCGGATAGATCGTGCGAATTTCATTTCCGTGACCGAAATTATAGCATCGAGTGCCAAGTATAATTAAGTGTTAACTACAATTATGCAGGGTGTCCCAAAAATGTCTCGCGATCCGAAAGTGGCGGGTTCCTCGGGTCGTTCGAAGCAACTTTTTCCTTTACAAAAATGTTCTCCGAGGCACCGATAACGAGTTATCAACGAAAAACAGTGACCAATAAGAATCGAGTACGGCTGACGCGAGGCGGCCCAGCCAACCAGCGCGCGAAGCCCGGTTCCGCTCATTGGCTCGATCGCCTCGCGCCAGCCGAGCTCGCCTCTCATTGGTCACTGTTTTTCGTTGATAACTCGTTATCGGTGCCTCGGAGAACATTTTTGTAAAGGAAAAAGTTGCTTCGAACGACCCGAGGAACCCGCCACTTTCGGATCGCGAGACATTTTTGGGACACCCTGTATACTACTGTTTTAAGTATACAGTATGTAGTATAAGTATGCAGTAGTATACAGTACATGTATAAGTATACAGTATATAAGTCATTTAATTTCTTCGCGACCCCAGCCAAGAAATATTATCGAGTCAAAAACATGTGTTAACATTTCAAACGTCGAGGTGACCAGCGTTGCTATTTACGATTAGATTATTTTTATATTTTTGCAATGTTAAAATGTGCAAGAAGAATTTTCGAAAGCACGTTTCGAGAAATTACCGAACGAAGCCGAGAATAATTAGAATCCTCGTCGATTATACCACTGTTAAAATGGATCCTGGCACTGAAGGGTTAATTAAGGAAAAGTCAGATTGGACTTAAAAAATAAATAAATTATGTCTTCTGATCTTCGGTGAGAGTAGCGTCGACGGGATCTCGTCGAACTTTTTCGACGTATTAAATATAAAAAAAAATTGAATTTCGGCCATGAAACCGGCGTGCGCCGGTCCGGCTGCGTCCTCTGATCCGGTTAGGCTCGCGACTGTAATCGATTTAACGAACGTTGGGATCAACCGCCTTTGGACCGAGGCTGAAACAGGCGCCTGGGATTCGTCGCAAACGGGACCTTCGATTCAATTTTCCATAGCGTTCGACTCGGCTCAATCAGCCTGTATCGATCACCGCGCGCGACTCCCCCTTTTTCTTTTCCCCTGCACACAACAAGTCCGATTAGGTTGGGTCTCATCCAGTCCGATTAAACGCGGTTCCAGCCAGCCTTCCGGCACGCCGCTCGATACGACGACCCGCCGCGGCTGGGTCATCGATTAATTAATATTATTACTTGAAAACAAATGGGGCCGGCTGCCACCCACCCCGTACGATCTTCGGTGAACTCGCGAACGCTATGCAACATGAAAGTCTCTGCCTTCGCCGTTCGTTTCCTCGCGAAATGCTTTGAAACCGTGTGCCGAGCGATAACCGAGAATCAGAGCTGAGGGAGAATATATTTTTGAAAAGAAAGCAACTGCAGTACTAAATAAATAGATAATAGTAATATAAAAAAATAATAGATGTAATAATAGATGTAAAAATAAAATAGTAGACTAGGAAATAGAAGACTATGGATGACTATGGAAGACTATGAATTTGGCAAGCAAACAGTAAAAAATACTAATTGCTTGGATATTATGTGGATATTACGTGGTTAAATATATTATATTTGACATACTATTTCAAAGAGAGTCCATTCGCCAAATCCCGTATCACGCGAGAAGATATACAATATTCTTCAAACATTTAATTCAGTTTAATTTATTTAATCGACGGGAAAGCAATGTTTGCCGTCGCAAGCGCGATAGAAATATTACACGAAAAAGCGTCGAATGTATTTTCGACGTTCTTTTTTTTCACATGGAAACGTCGATGCAGGACAAAAGACTTTTCGCTGAATTTTTCAAGGTCGTTCGAACGTTATTTCAATTTCTTTCAAACGGAATGCCGTGTATTTTTGTATCGCTACAATATTTTGATTTCGTTTTGTTTCGCGCTCTCTCATTGTGGCGAAACAAAAATACGGTATTCCAGTTTAAACAATTGAAATGAACCTGAATAATTCGGTCAAATATTTGTCGTCTCGCATTAACGTATTCAACGTGAAAAGGAAAAACGTACAAAATGCATTTTCAACGCTTCCCCCCCCCCCGTAAAGTCTACCGTTTAGTAGTTATTTTACAAGCGGCGCTTATCGAAAAAGATGACAAAGGTAAAGCGAACGATGCAACATTTGCTGTCGCGGAACACGCGATACAAAGTAAAGGGAACGATGTTGCAGGAAAAAATAGGTAACACGAGAAACAAACGTAACGATCGCAATTATATTTAAAGGTGTAGTTACGATCTTTAATTAGCCTTATCCTTAATAATCAAAATAGCGGCTTGAAAGCGCTACGCAGGTGGAGAAAAAGTCGACGAAGTGCGATAAAGAATTCGCAAGAGTGCAGATCCGAGTAATAGGTTCATACCGTGCAAGGTTTGCTCTAAAAAAGGATTGTCCTAAAAATGGCGCATTTGCGTGGTGTACATTAGAGGGTCGATTAGAGTAGGTACATTAGAGTTTAAATAGAATGCATTTACGTATATGGGTTTCTAGAGCCTTTGGCGCGACAAAGGGTATTAAAAATTGTGCAACAATTATACAAAAATTATTACAGATTCTACAGAAATTGTAGAAAAATTATACGGTCCCATCGTAAAATCATGGCGATCCTAAAGCGTTGCATTTAAATCCCGAAGGCGTCCAAAAAACGTTCAGCGATCCGTATCATTTGTTTGCAACGATAAAAATTCCATCTAAAATTACTTCGAAGGTAAGGAAGAACGAAAGGTGAGGAGGCTATTAACGACTAATTTTTCTCTAAAGAAAAGTCAGATTGCTCCACGAAAATATTCGACGCTAAAATATCTCCGGGAAATTCTTTTCCCGGCCGAATCTGGCACAGATATCGAAGCTTCGTCCGCCCGACGGACCCGCTAAAATTGGAGTTTTTGACGGTTCAAGATGCGGCGACGCGGGGGAAGGGAGGGGGGACGGCCGCGAATTAATTTCTAATGCATAGTAAACTTCACCGTGGCCGTAGGAACGAGCCAGTTTCGTCACAGTTGTCAGACACTCATCCGCCCGACGGCTGATTTACGACGGCCGCGGCGGCCGGTTTTTGCGGAGCCACTCGTTCGTCACGAGCCACGAATGCTTACTCGCCTATGACTTCGGCGGACGGTTAAGCATAGGCATCGGCGAAAGGAAATAAGAAATTCCGTCGGCGGCGAGTGTAACGCCGGACGGACGGCCGATCGTCGAACGCTTGTCTCGGTGAACGACGATGAAAGCCGGTAATTACTATATTAAATCGACGACTCGGCTGGCCCCGTGGGTCGACCATCGATCATCCGAGCCGTTTGCCACGGCCGCTCCACCTCCGATAAAAAAAAAAACGAAAGAAAACCGAGTACATATGTACGTCTCTTTCACGGAACAACCGACTGTTTTCTGGCGTTCTCGACAAACAATTCCGCCGACGCGACGTTCCCTTTCGAACGAACCGGTTGAGAAGTCGAGGCAAGGTAGATGTACCGGCTGTCGCGTGGTTAAGGATTTAGATGATTTTCGACGCGAACGTTGTTAACCCATTGACTGCCAACTACGAGATATCTCGTAGTGGGTGCTGCAAGATTGGCTACAAATGGCTATTTGAGTTAGGAGCTATTAGAAAGGATGAATGAAAAATGTATACAGTGTAGAGAACATGTTGATAAAAAGATACTGTAAATGCCATTGCAATATTATATCGGTAACTTAATATTATTATATTTTGTAAAGCTTCGTGTCTTTTTTAAAATAAAACCGTAGCACCCAGAGCAAGACGCGTTAAATTTGCGCGGCAGTCAATGGATTAACGCTTGACGGAAGGGTTGTTTCTCTGTCTAATTAAACATGCATGCGTGCTTTCAAAGCGTTGCAGTTTTATTAAATCGGCGCTATTTTTGAGAAGATTTTATAAAGCTAATTATTTACGTATCTAGTAACTGTGTGTGTTACAGGAAAAAACCCAATACGCATAAAATTGAAAAACCAACGCAGCGTAATGGAAATTCAAGCAGAAACGTAAATCTGCGTGGGCCGTTCCAGGAAGTCGAAATGGAAGAACGCAAATTTACGCGGCCCGCCCGTTCAGCGTTAAGGATCTAGATATTGATATAATATCAGACGTTAATAATTTCAATATTCTGAAATATTCTGAATATACATATTTTAAATAATAAATATTTCAGACAAATATTCTAAAGATCTTGCATCGCATAAGGGATGCGCATGAATTGTTTCGCAGTGCCTTTGGTTCTGACGTCACTAGCAGCAGGGTAACCAAAAGACTATAGGATTATCTTCGTACAAAATCGTAGTAGGGCAATGACGTACGGTCGTGAGAGGCGAGCGCGTAGAACGTTTATTTTGATTTCGAGTCTTCGACGATGGTCCGACGAACGGTCGAAGGGATTTCGACGCTATTAGTTCGCAACCTTCGGCTGTTTTCAGTTTCGTCCGAGTCGCCGAGCGAGACGCAGTGAGTATTTCGTTCCTCGGACTTCGATATCGCGTACAATTAACTGCTCTACATTACATTATATTATCGCTGTTGCATCGGACACGCGCTGTGCAGCGACTGTCGGTCCGAATAAGCGTTTTATTGCGAGGAATAAGTTGCAACAAAATATAGTTTAGCTCTGGGTGAAGCAGGAAGCGGGAAGATCGCCTAGTGAAAAGCTGCAGGTCGGAACGGGAATGACGTCGCTCGCGGAATCAATGCCGGAGATGGTCGGGGAAATGACAAAATTCGAACGGGAACCGGTACGAGCGAGATGAGATCGGCGAAACTCTTACGCGGACGCGTCTCTTGAAATTTTCCGATTTTCCCGCTGGTGTGTACTGTAAGGGTTGACAAATTAAGGAACGGTCCGTCGATGTCCGAAACAGATTTCGTGGG